GAAAACACATTGGAACTTACTGTATGAGTCATATGCAAGAGCGCGTGTGTGTGCAGATTGTGCATACACACACAAAAATAATAATCACAGCTCATATCCACAATGTTCTAGATGCTGGGAGGGCAGTTGAGGTAGCATTCACCTTTTTCTGAAAGCTGTTACAGTCCGAGATAGGAACTGGCAGGGCATATGAGAGAGATATAAAGACAGAATTAATTTTCTGTGCGTGTCAGAGTCTCTTCTGAGGGATATTTGCTTGTTGAAAGGTGGGCACTGCTGTCATTGCCCTGTGAGCAAAGAAAGGCAGGAGCAGTATGGACGAGGAAGGGACCACCACTTTTAGCCTGCTGTAACTGATCTCTTGAATATTTATCCAGATGGGTCTCCTGGTTGCCACACTAGATTGCTAGCAGTCATGCATATAGAAATGTTTGGACGTGACTACCGTTGATATAACCTCTGCCAAGCCACGAGAGAAGTACAGCCAAGCCACCCAAGCTGCAGTGTGACCTCTTTGCTTGGGAGCACAGCGGGTGAGTCCCAGGGTGCTGGCACACGACAAGGGTGTCACTCATCGCTGCCCCCTTCCAAGAAGCGCCAACCACAAGCTCAATGAGTGGTAAAATTAGAAAGTGAAGTCTCAAGAGAAGATTTGACTCAGAGGATTGTGAGGAAAATTAAAAGCTGACCATGACGGCCCAACTCAAGATCAATGGGAGCGGAAGAGCTTGCTCTCAACACATTTCAAGAAAGAATCTCAAATGCTGTAAAGAGATGAAACTGCTGCTTTTTACACACTGCATACACAGGTACCCAACAAAGTCATGGGTAGAGTTTCTACATCTGCCAATGCCATTCTTGGGATATTTAGGTAGAAATTTATGCAGACACCTTATTTTTCTGTATCATTTACCAGCTCTATCACAGAATAAAAAAAAAACAGGAGTTACTGACATTCGCAAAAATTTTAGCTGTTAGCCTGATCGACACTTTACATGCTTTTCTTCCTGGGAGGTGAGTGCAGGGACACTTCACAGCATGGACGCTCATAAGCATGGGGAATTTGGACATTTCCTTTACAAGAACTTCACAACATCTCATTACTCAAAGCCAGAATTTAAAGGAAAAGGGACAAGTGGAGGTGGGGTTTTATTGCCTTACCACTAAAGAGGGCTGTTCCTGGAGGATGATAGGTTCAACAGCTCGTGTGTGGTCTCTAAATCTTCCTCTCAAAAAAAGTTACTCAGGTCCTTGTAGCAGGATAACCACTCTGTGTTTCATGCTCTTTTTATTTCTAAACAGGAAAGGCTCTACTCTGACCAGCTGAGCTCCTCTCACTAACAGGAGGAAAGCACATCTGTGATGTACCCAATACCCATGTCAGAAGCCTTTCTAATTTCTGATTTGCTTCCAAAACTTGCGGTTGCAAATTCAAATCCCTCCAGGTCTGGAGTGCAGAAAATTTCTCCTCTGGTTCATGGGTAAGCTGCTCCTTATATTCATATTGCTGGACAAGATGATATGCTCTGACAGCTTTCTCTGGGGGCTCCACAAAGGTGTTCTGGGTCATGTGCACAGCGTCATGGGGGATGAGAGATGCTCAGCTCTGGTTTGGTACCCATGTTCTGATTGTGTGTTACCTTGGGAATTTGTTTTAGCCAGATGGAAGTGTGTGCAGGGGTGGGGAGAGGAGTGTTTTTTGCTTTCCAGGAGTAGGAAAAACACATCTCACCCAATGTTATTCATGTAAAAGTTGAAACCAGTTATAGGGTCTCTCTGTAGCCAATAGAGAAAATCTGATTCCTCCAGAGAGTGATTCACCCACCAGACAGGGCTCTGAGATAACAGGGATGATTCACGCTCTGGAGATGCTGATCATTTTCCACTGATGACTAGCTGAGATGACTAATATCAAGATGGCTAAAGCCAGAGGAGACAAATCCACCTGATGAGCCTGAGGGAGATGCGGGCACAGCAGAGGCTTACCTGAAGGGAAAGATGGTTGCACAGCGAAGCTATAGAGGATGACTCAGAAGAATTTGATTTCTTTCCTGGCAGTGCTCAGGATCTCCCACCATGAGGGAAGGATCCAGCACTCTAGTCATAGCACCAGCACGAAGACATCAGCCTCCTGTTCCCAGCCACCTGGCTTCCCAGCTACAGACCTGACCCTGGCTGCTCTATTGGAATGCCAAATTCCAGCACGGCTGATCACACTGCTCTTCTTTGGTGGCTGGAAGAGGGAGGCAGTGAAGTTGCTTGTTGGGTCCTACCAAGAACACAGTGATCAAGCCACAGTTTTGGTCCCTATAAGAGAAGGTGATGCACTTTCTGCCAAGTGGATTTGCCAGCGGCTTTTGAAAATGTAGTATTGCTCATTTCTGCAGTAAAAATGCTAGCACTCATGAAATGTTCTGGGGGACACTCCAAGAACAACTTGTCTTGGGGAGACAAGCTGAACAGCAGAGAAAACTGCTGGAATAAGCAGTAAGGTCCAGACAAGCACTTTGTTCTTAGTCTGGGATACTCCTGAACCCAGGCCAGGGATTTGGATCTGGCCAGCGTAAGCAGAGGAACAATTCCAAAATCTGAATCTTGAGCTTAATTTCTATTTTAATACAGCTTTTTGTCCTCACACCTGATCTAATATTGCCAAGCTATCAATAGCAGTCCTGGTGACACTCACAGTTCTGCAGTGGCAGCTGAGACAGATCACAGTGGTTGAAGGGGAGAAAAGAGATAGAGAGCAGCGGGTTAGATGGAACCAGAAAAATTGTGTCTGCTCAAAGTCCATGATAAAAAGCAGTGACTCATCTGAATTTAGCTTAAAAAAAAAAAAAAAAAAAAGTCTGGGGACAAAACCTCCACTGACTTAGCTGTGTTTCTCTCCAAAACCAGTTGCTGAGAAGAGGTATCTCAGGGCCAAGAAGAATTTCAGAGATGGGACAAGTTCTTCATTGCTCTTCCTTGACCTCTTTTCACTGTGCTCCAGAAAGACCCTGTAGCCAGTAAATCATGTCACAGGACTGAGGTGGTCTTGCCACAAGATAATTTCTACGCCAACAGATTGTAAGTCACTGCTAAGTTATGTTGACTTTATAGATTTCTGCTTTTTCCATAGCTTTTATCCTCTAAACACCCAGTGGAAACAACACCTTTCTTAAACCTTATTGTATCACACATGATTTATAGAGAAGATTATTGCTGTTAACAGCGAACTGTTAAATATCAAATAGATCAAAGATGTGAAATGAGGAATGAATTGACTGAGCTCTTCAGGCCATGCTTATTCCAAAGCCTTTTTTTTAAATTTTTTTTATTCCCTCTGTCATAAGAATTTATATGCTTGTGAGAATCTGATCAGGTGGGAAGAGTTTTCCTCCTTTGTCTACATCAAAGTCCATATGTTCGCAAATTGCTATAAGTCATTCTTTGCATTTTAATCTCTAGCCGTATGTATAAAAATAATGACCTGCCTTGAGGGACAGGGGATGAAATGCTCTTTATTGCTTTTCCTTAAAAATCCAAAACATTTCTGCTAAAGATATCAAGTTGGAAAGCTAATAGGCTGGAAGAACTGGAATATCTTAGTTAGAGGTAAAATTAGAATAGAATAGAATAGAATAGAATAGAATAGAATAGAATAGAATAGAATAGAATAGAATAGAATAGAATAGAATAGAATAGAATAGAATAGAATAGAATAGTTCGGTTGGAAGGGATCTATGAAGCTCATCAAGCCCAACTGCCTGGCCAATTCACAGCTAACCAGAAGTTAAAGTATGTCGCTGAGGGCATTATCCAAATACCTCTTGGACACTGACAGGCCTGGTACATCAGCCACCTTTCTATGAAGCCAGTTCCAGTGTTTGGCCACCCTCATGGTAAAGAAAATAACTTGTGCACAGGGAGTGTAGATGACCACTGACCACTGCATGTGCAGGCTTTTAGGTGACCAAGATATTCTGGCTTGAAAGGAAACGTCTCTTGCTTAGCTGCAGTTGCTTCCCTGACAGGCTGGACACAGGAGGAGTCACTAAGACACAGAGGAGAGATACAAACACTGTCAGCTGCTTTCCTGTTTGTTTCTGGGTACCTTTGCTTTAGCCAACATTCTGACAAGTCCCACAGCAGGACAGTCAATCCTTTTTGTATACAGGGCCAGCTGAAGCCAGTGTTTCCCAGCATTATGGTGCATCTTGCTAGGGAGACACAAGAAAACGCAAAGTGCATTGCGTAAAGGAGTCAAGAACAGGCTGACCTCTTGCTGCAGGAAATTTCTGTTTCACTGCTCATGAAGGGAAATGCTGCTGCTGCTGCTGCTGTGTGTGAGAGGGAACATCTCAGGGCAGGGAGCACAACTGAGAGACAGAAGAGACTGACGAAGGAGGTAAATGTAATGTGTCTGAAGATGTCTGGGAGCTATCTTTCAAATCTCATGTGCCACATTTGGTTTCTGTGCTTGCAAATGCAAAGATGAAGCTGGACATGGGCTTTGTGTGCTAGAGGGTGCCAGGGCAGGGAAATCCCACACCAGGTGGGTCTAAGGCTCTGCCTGTCACTGATCACCTAGCCAACCTTCTTGGACTGTATGGCAAGTGAATAATGTATTTAACAGGGAAACAAAAATCCCGTTCTTTGGAAACAGGGAACCAAGACAACAGACTTCCTTTTGTCTCTTTTCCCAAATCTTAGTATTGATGGACTATGATATACGTGCTTTCTCTCCTCTGAGCAGGGTTACTGGCTCAGATATTTCTGGACAAATCCCTGCATGTACAGGTTAGGGGATGGGCTAAAGCCTTGGCAAACTCCCTGATCCACATGCCATGCTCCAAGTAGTGAGGATTTAATGAGGATACTAATTTTGATACACAAAATTAGTAGAATACACTGCTGCGAGTGATCCATTCCAAAGTGAGATGTCTGCATCCAGGAGGTGATTTTCTCCCCCAGAGCATCTATTTCACTTCATTGACCAAAGGATGCTGCTAAGATACAAAGAGTTGAGCTCAGCTGGAGCCCCCCACACTGCCAATGTCCCTTTGGGAGTTAGATGACTTCACATGTGTTAGTGTCTCTGTGCCAGCTATGTCCAGGTTCCCTGGGGTCTCTGCGAGGTAATATGCAGCTCCAAGTTGCTGTGGGAGGAGAAAGAAGCTCCCACATGCCAGGAGATAAATGACTGGGTGCCTTTTTTAGTAGGGAGGAATGTGACTGAAAGCTTTATGTCTATGCTGCTCTCTCACTGCATCAGCAAACCTGCCCTGGTCCTAGGGATGCCCAAAGTCAACACCCCTCAGCTGAACCAGACACACACTAAGCAGCTTCCCAAAGTGCTGATCTGCCAGAAGCTCCAGAAAGAGCCAGCTATTCTCATCACTTTCCATGAGTATTTGAAAAAGAAAAATCAAGAGTTTATCTTGATCTCTTAATCCACCAGGTTTCTTTTCTCTTTGCTTTCTCTACCTCTGCAAGCCTGGTAATTATAATTTACAGCACCTGCTCACTTTGAAATACCTTGGACTCCTTTTGCCTGGCAGAGGAACAGACACAGTGCCCATCTGCTTTAGGTAAGTGCTCACAAACCACAAAGTCGTTAATTAGACTGACACACGACTCTTCCAGAATACACATGGTATGTTGTTACTGCACCTATAAACCACCGGTAACCAGATACCCTGCCAGGGGATCACAATTGGATCAGAGCATGACGTAAGGTCTTGGCATCCCTTGCAGGGCTCAGAGCATTGCCATCAGGTGTGCGTGTTCTTTCTAATCCTCCCCACTGGGCTTCCCAACATGCTTCCCAGATAAAGCAAGCCTCCTGAACACTCAGTAGGAGGCTCGGTCTCCAAAACTTTGTATTGTCTTATTTTGAAATCCAAATTCCTCTTTGTATTCATCCAGTCATCCCTGCCAAGGTCTCCTTCCTGACAGCTCAGGCTCCAGGCGGTGATGCCTCCACATCCTGTAGCTGACAGGGAGCAGGGCAGGCCTGATTTGGGCCCCACAGGCATGGCTGCAGCTTCAGAGGGCCTGTGGGGAGGGGTGTTTGTGAGGGCAGGTGTGTCTGATGGGGATGGGAGCACTTGGGTGGGTTTGACACTTGCTTCCTCAGACTGGCTGGCATCCACGTGGCAGAGTGAATCACGAACACCTCTGGTCAGGCAATGCTGAGCCTCCGCAGTGGGTGCCTCCTTCTGGAGGAGGAGTGGCCCAGACCACATGCAGCCCCTGATGAATGGTGATGCACAGTAAGTAAAGCTGGGACAAAGCTCTTGGTTAGCACTGGAACTGATGGGAAATGGGTACTACAAATGCTGTTGTCACGGAGTTGTGTTGAATGGCCCGAAACCTCACCTGATTTATTGGCCTTTGCCAGTTTGTGTGTGCGGGTGGAAGCCCTGTTAATATATTTTAAATATCACTTGCCCAAACTCAAGCCTGCAACTTCCTTGGGTTAGAAAATATATGCAGGGAAGAAACAGGACATCCACTTAGAGAGTATCCAACAATGGAACTTCCTGATCCTCTCATCTAAGCACCTTCCATTTCACCTAAGCTTGCCTGAATCTAATGTCATTTTTTGGCATACTGTCTGTCCTGTGAAGGACTGGAATTTAAGCAACTTAGGCTTTCTGAGAGCCAGTGTGTTGCATCTAGGCTAGTAAAAATGAGTGCTGTTCTTCCTGGCTCTCCCATTGCTGGCTCCTGCATCCCAATGTGTGTTGCATCCAAATGCAAGACAGCTGTTGCATTTGGAGATAATTGGGGTTTATTGATCATTATTTTTCACTTTCCAATTTCAGAGGCTCCATTGAGGCTTTAGGGCTTTGCTACATTTCTGCTCTAACCTGGCATTGTGCAGGCAGTAAATACCAGCCTCTCCCTGTCCCACGGTGGCTAAAATGTCTCACTCTGTCTTGCTTGTTCAGCTACCTCATCCCTTGAATTTCCTTGTAAATCCCACTGATAGAGCTGATCTCAAAACAGTTGTTCTCAGCTTCCACTTAGTTTGGCTGCTTCTGCTGTAGGCCTGAGAAAAGACTTTTCATATTCAGTAGTCTGTCTTTTTTTTTTCTTATGTCAGCTTGTCCATAAGAGATACATACTTTCCCTTCAAATCCTGCCTGAATTCCAGAATGACGAACATGGACATCAAATGCAAATATCTGAAAGAGTAAGAAAATAACCAGCACACAATCCCTTTCTGTCTAGTATAGCTGTCTGCTCCACCTCACTCCTGTTGGCTCCCATTTTCACCTCCCTTTTCTGCTGCCCTGTTTAGAATGTGTAGCCAACTTGCAAGACAGATAGTTAATATTCCGTGAAGTGCCATGCTAGTCCAGTAACTCATGAACTGTCATGATGTGGCATAACGCCACTTCCCCTACTGAACGGAAAAAAATAGTCTCTGGGCAACACGAATACACTGGGTCTCAGATAACCTGACCAGTAATGCTCGGAAACCATGCTGTGGTGACCTATGGGTGTTCCAGGCTGGCTAGTTTTTTTGGCTATGAATACACAAGAGTCTCATAAACTTGTGGAAAATGACTCAGATATTAGAAAAAAGAAGAAAAAAAATCTCTCTAACACAGACCTGTACTGGAGATTCTTGGCCTGAGGATAATTACTGTGTTTGGAGAAATCATGGCAGCACCGCTGATATTCAAGCAGAGCATCTTAGCTCTATCTTAAGACACACTGATTGTGCACACTGAGACACTCTTGCTGTGTCACCAGTGAGGGATGAATTTTGATGGGTAAATCAGATGGGAATGGGGCCCAATGATCCTTGTGGATCCCTTCCAACTCAGGATATTCTATGGTTCTGTGATTCTAGTATTTACAATTATCCTTCTCCAAGCAGGATGCTGGATTTGAGGCCTGCAGAAACTGCTTCCAGACAAATTTCTATGACAAAAGGACGCAGTAAGAATAGGGCTGAAGTTAAGGATTAGGGTTGAGGTTGATTTTTCAGTGGTTCAGTGTGAAAACCTAATTCAGAAAGCTCTTACAGCTTTGGCAGTGCTATTTACTCCAGCTGGGCAATTACCAAACAGACCTGCCCTAAATTCAGTGCCACTACCAGGATCTGATTGCAATTATGTTTATACCCAGGAAAACTGCATGCATTTCAGTGACGTGGGATTTTTAGTGAATATGTTAGCACAAACCTGCTGTAGATATAGTTACTTTAAATGAAAAGCATCACCATGAAAAGCTTCAGCCATGGCTGAATCACTAAAAGTGTTTTAAAGCATTTTCTGCTCTGACATAAATACCCTTTGTCTGGGTAAAACAGTACAACTCACATGTTGACAGACCTAAGTTTCCTCTGTGCTACCCATCAGGTCCCTTACCACTGCGGTCCACAGCAGTGAGGAGGAGCCCCTTCTGGGTGGATATTTTCCAGCGTTCCTTGAAATGTGCATTGGCTCTGGTGGCCTTTTCGTCGCTGTGCACACATGGGGAGCTGTAATTTCAACATCCTTTACCAAAACAGTGTTCCTTCCATGAAAACCGCCCTCTCCTCCCTTCTATGCTAAGTGACAGTAATCTTTGCTTTAATTGGAAAAGAAAAGGAAGAAGGGACAGAACATCCCTGACAAAGGAACTAATGACTCAAATGCTGGGAAGTCCGGGCCCCCAAGGGACTGTGCAGCTTGCAGCATTGATTCTTAATGACTTACAGAGATTGGAGGTTTGGAAGATCTCTCAGTGCCTCTGCAGGGATGCGACTCAGCTGATTGTTCTGCAACATCCTATAATTAGAAAAAAAGAAAACTTTGTTAAAAAATAAAATAGCCTGACACAAAGTGGAAGAGGTTGCCTGTTGTTTCTGAAGCTGTGAAGCTGCCCTGAACCCTTGGTCACCCAGGGCTCTTAGGCAAGCTTGCAGGCTGCAGGCAGGCAAGACACAGTCCAGGCTGCCCTTGGATCCCAGGGATCCTGGGGTGAATCTTGTCCTGCTGGGGCATCCCCTGGGTGGATGTGAGGTAAAGGGACACCTCCAGAACACGTGTTTCTGGTGAAGGGATGTATTGGTGCGCTTCCAGGTGGGCTTCTGGAACTGTGCACTCTTTGATTGCTGGAACAGCACTGAAGAAGGATCTGTGCTTTCTGTGAGTCCAGAGTAATACCAGTGCCTTCAGCTGATCTGTCTCATATTTATACTTGTGTAAGTCATCCTTCTCCCAGCGTCAGTGGTGATTACCTCTGCAGAGTCTATGGAAACTAGCCTGTGGGTAGGTTTCTTATTCAACTTTTGAGGCAGCTGCAACACAATGGTTGAGGAGCCACTTCATAACAGTTTGCTAAGGGGCTTTGCAACATTTGCACAACTTGCAGCAGGAGCTGGGGCTGTAGTGGAAAATAAAACAAGCCAGGGACTTCAGAGAGTAATCTCTGAAGAGATCTGTTGGGCTGAACAAGGAGGACCCAGGAGGGGCTTCAGAAATGGTAGTGAGCATAGGACATGGAGAAAGGCCATGGATGCTGGAATGACTGCACAGCTTACAGAGGACCAGGAGAGAGACTTGATGAGAGCCCTCCTGCCCCAGAGGCAGGTGTCCGAGTGGCTCTAACTGCAGGTGAGGTCCTGGGGTATTTCTGATTTGGTCACCCATTGTCCTCCTGGAGCACCACGCATGAATTTATTGGTTCATCGGTACCTGAATTTACAATTCATCACTGTATCTCTGTAAAGGGCCGTTTTTTGACTCTGGACCAGCCTCATCCTGAAACCTTCCCATTCCTACAAGAACCGCGACATCATGGGCACATACTCTTCTGGATAAGAGAGAGAGACACATCCCAGCATGGTAGCTGGGCAGGGGAAAGTGCCTAAAGAAAGGAATGTTTTACATAGCTGAGGTTTCTATTTCCAAAACCTTCAAGGAATGGTTGAAGATGACATGAAAACAGAATTAGTGCTTAGGGGCCTGTCGTAATTACTACCAGTGTCAAAGGGACAGAGCATGGCCTTAATAGTGAAGGGCAGCCCAAAGAGTTTTGTTGCAAGCAAGGAATTTTCTCTTTGCTGAGAGCGGTTGTTTTACTGCAGAAGATTAAGACATCTGTCATGAAAGGAAAGTTGGAAAAAGACAGTTATAGGGACAATCTTTTTAAAAGGGAAGCTGTAGAGAGCTACAGGCCACACAACTCCTCTTCCATTTCTGGAGGAAAATGGGGACTTAGTATAAAGTTATTTGTATGCACACAGAAGATAAAACAGGGAAACAAGCAACTGGGCTGGGGAGATAGGACACTGACTCCTGAAGTCCAGTAATGAAGGAGAACGTTTCAGATCTGTTAAACATCAAAATAATGCACAGCTGAAGACTCTTGATACAGAGTGGGGTTTCAGGAGTCTCAGTTGGTGGGAGTTTTTGTGGGACGCACATTGGATCTTTATGAAATCTGAGCTCAGCATTTAGACATGATCAGCAGAAGTATATGCTGTCAAAATTACAGCAAAACTGACTGTCATATTACTGCTGGTTCCTTTATGCCTCACCTCTGTTACAAGGCCTTTCTCCAACCAGAAACACAGACTGAGAAGCTCTCCAGACAGATATTAGCATGGGCTGGTTCCCATACCACACCGTTTTGGTGCAGACAAGCAATGTTCAAGCAAGTGCATCATAGACCTCTGAAACCACTGGAGTGCTGGACAGTGCTTGTTTCCACAACCACAAGGCAGCTCCGGAAGTTTTTGGATGCCTGGGCTGGAGCAAGCCTTACAGGGCACATCATTACCTCCAATAACTCATCATCAAAACTTGATACAGAGAGGCCAAAACCAGAAAATAGCTCCAGACAGGATTGGACAAGTTCCTCGGGGACAGGGCCACCCTGGTTTAAACAAGAAGTTCTTCATTCAGCCTCAAGCTCAGGAAAGCCTTAGTTCTGCTCACTGGGAACTCAGGTTTGAGCAGGAAAAGCCATGCTGCATCTACCCCTGACTGTCACAGGATGGCCCAGGATGGTCTTCCTTACAGTCTGGCTTTAAGGACAGCCCCTGTCAGGTCTAGGGTCACTGCAGTCAATCATATTGCCATATTAAGTCGTTTTTGCATATTTTTTTTCTTTCTTCTTTCTTTTATAAAAGGCTCTCTCAACATAGCCAGAAAGAGGCTGGGCTGGCTCCCAGGTACAGCAGAGGGAAGCTTCCTTGGGGTTCTCCTCCTTTGCTGTTGTCCCTCTGCTGTACCTGGGAGCCAGCCTGGCCTCTTTCTTGCATATCTACAGTCCTGCCGCTGCCCGTGGCTGGAGACAACACCAGTTTGGCTGAGGGGAGCCTGATGTGAGCCTGGGACCTGTGAACAACTCCCCAGTGCTGTGGCCTCCTGAGGTCCAGGCACTGGGCTGTGCAGCGTGACCAACAAACCCAGTGTGCAGCTCAGACAGACACATTTAGAGACATTGCCATGAGGACCAAGCTTCAGGCGTGCCAGGGTGTGTGCATGGCAGATGGTGCTGGGGACACACTGGGGACCCACTGTCACCCAGGGTTGGCTCTGTTCAGGTGACCATAGTGGAGCTTGCAGACACTGGCAGCCATGGACACGCAACCTGCCATCCACAGCAGGTCAGTCTGCCTGGGGTCAGCATAAATCACAACGCTCCAGGGTGTCATGTTTTATTTTCAGAAGTAGGAGGTTTATGTGTTGGCAGAGACCACACCTGAACAACCAGAAAAAAATCCTGGGATCAGGTCCCATCACACCAGGATCCTTGCACAAGACAGTCTCAGCAGACTTACAGCCCTCAGAGGTACAGGCCTGTGCATGATGAAATGTCCCCATCTGGGGAGGCTGAAGTGACTCAGCCAGCACAAAGGGCTGTTATTGCTTGAGGCAACTGTGCCTGGAGCCTGTATTAAAGACATTCCAACCTCTGCACGTTCCTCTTCCCTCCCCATGGGAGCGTCTCTCTCTCGGATGTGCCACACTATTCCCTTTGTCTCAAAGACATTTCTGTTCTGCATGGACTCAGGGTTGTCAAAGAGGCAGGGCCTGTCTGGGGATTCCTGATGTGTGCCGGGCCATTTGCAGACCTGCCATCCTGGGAGCAACATGGCCTTTTTGGTGGTGTTTTTGATGTGTGTTCACCAGCCAGGTTAGTTAGTGCCTGTCCTATATCACCTGAGAGGCTGTGATGGCAGCTCAGGGTGGGATGTGACCAGAGCGAGTGGTCACCGGGTGGCTCATGCAGAGCAAGGCTGCTCTTGTGAGGCCTACACCTTAGAATCGTAGAATATCCCAAGTTGGAAGGGACCCACAAGGATCATCAAGTCCGACTCCTGGCACCACACAGGTCTACCCAAAAATTCAGACCCTGTGCCTAGAGTCCCTCTAGACCCTCTAGGCCCATCTTTGTAGCCCTCCTCTGGACACTCTCCAATGGTTTCGTGTCCTTTTTGTACTGTGGTGCCCAGAACTGCACACCTTGATGGAGACGAGCCGTGGGCAGCACCCGGGCAGCGCGTGGCTGGGAGCGGCTGCGGGCAGGCGCTGGGCAGTGCTCACACCAGTGTCTGTGTGGACATGCTGTGGGCAGTGCTGGGTCTGCATGCTTGCACAGGCTGGTTGAAGCTTGTTGAGGAATGGAGCATGGGGTGGGCCATCCCCACATCCCCAGCTGCCTGCTGGGCTGCCAGGTCTGCAGCCAAGAGGATGCATCCAGGCATTCTGCCCTCTGCATTTCGGGGTGAGGCAGGCTCAGGTTGTGGTTGTACTTGGAGTCTTTCCCTGCCGAGTTTGGTGTGGGATCCCTTCTTGGCTAGTAAGTACTGCTGTTGCTGCAGCATGTTCAGCCAGGAAAATAAGAGGCCTGGCAATCCTGGCGGAGCATTTGATGAGGGATATGTGTGTGAGGGTGGGATCCGGTGTGAAGCCATGGCAGCACAAGATGGGCCACACATCAGGTTAGGATGGAGTTCCAGCCAAGGAACATGGAGATGAGGGGCATCCAGGTGGCTCACGAGGAGATCTAGAAGGACAGGGCAGTTTTCATTTTTCCAGAACTTCTGATTAAGCAACATATTCTGCTGCTCCAAGGTTGGGAGAGCACAGACTAAGGAGGTAGTTTTGGACAGAAAGACTTTGGCAAAGGACACAAACAGCCAATGGAGCTGATTTCTACCGATGCTGACACTGAAGCATAGATCCTGGAGCACTGGCCTTCATGGGGAGGGTGAGGGTTGGTTGTGCTGCTGAGCAGAGCCCCTGGGAGAGGTGCACTTACAAAATCTCTTTGCAAAGGGATTCATGCAGTAGAGAAGACCACAGAGCACCAACTACCACTGCTCAGCACCCATCACTGTCAGTCTGCACTCAGCTGAGGGGAGCCAAGGAGGCCACATCTCACCTTGCCTTTGGTTCGGGCCCAGAGATCAGCACGTGAAGATCTTGGCACGTTCCACCGTGTCACGGTGTTTTGTTGGTAGCGAAGTGCCTGGCTCTTTACTCGCTCTCTTCCAAGTCTCCACACACCTGCTTGCCTGGTTGTACCCCTGTATGGTTTTTGTACAGGCCTATCTTTATGGCCGCTTTCCAGGTGGTTTCTGTGCAGTGAAGCAGCCGGAGGAGGCAAAGCCAAGAATCTGGTCCTGCTTCCAGTAGCTCTGGGATTCACTCTGAGGGCAGGGAGAGGACCATCTGCACAGGCAGGTTTGTGGAGGAATTCCCAGGGTGTTTCCCATCCTTTTTTAAACATAAATTAAGTCTCTGGAAAGACCGGGAAAGCACCAGGCCCCTTAACAGCTCAAGATGCATGCAAGAGTTTACTTGTGGGCATGCACATGACTGCAATGAGCTCTAAGGCCCTAGCCCATTAACATTAATTACCATCCCCAGCTCCCAGCTTGTCTCCTTGAGGGACACCCCTGTCACCACAGGCCAGAGCTCTGAGTGTGGTGTGAGTCAGCTCCTGAACACCTGCAGGCTTCAGCTGGGCATGGCTGGGGCAGCCATTCCCACCTCCAGCCATGCCTGTTACCTGTCACACCTCAGCCAACCTGTGTCAGAGCATGCACATCCACGGAGGCAATCTGTCCTGAACATCCCTGGTGCCATCGGCTCCAAAGCCTGCTAGTCCTGTCATTCAGGTATGGGGAATATGTATTTCCTTCCTTGTTGCAGCAGCTGCTTGTCCTAAAAGGATTACATCTGTCCTCGTTCACCTTTCCTTGAGGGTAAGTAACCTCGGCTGACTTTTTTTTTCCTTTAGTTCATCACCAGACCCCTGATCCTTCTCACTGTATTTTAATAAAAGTGATTTTTTTTTTTTATTTCGCTACCGGACTACAGGACTCAGTGCCCTATCCCCGCAGCACAACTCAACAGTGCAAACAGACCTGTGTGCCCGAGAAGTTGTGTTGGTCCTTGCATGGGAGCTGTCAACCTGGATGAGCATCCCTATCCCACTGGGCTGCACAGAGCACGTGTGGCATCCATCACAAGGCTTACAGTATCCTGTCAGAAGCGTGGAAGGAGAACCAGGGCTGATGATCATGGACCTGGCAGGGCAGAGCTTGTGCAGGAGATGCAGGAGGAGAGCATGGGCAGAGGGTACCACGTCAAACACCCCCAGCCCTGCTCTGTGCCCCACCTTGCCACCCCCAGCTCAGTGTGCCTCTGACACGTGGTGAGCAGCCTGACAGGGGACTCAGCCTTCCCAAGTCCACTTCTCTCCTGATTTTCCATCAAACCAGGATGGTTAGGTACAAATTCAATGCCTTGGCTGTATCAAAAGTGAAGAGACAAGGACGTTCCTCCCTGTTCCTCTCTTTTAATACTTTACATCCCGGCATTTCTCTGATCTTTCCTGCCTCATGGGCTTTTCAGATTCCCTCAACAGATACCTCCTTCAAGATGTGTGGTTTGTTGTTGGAGATTAAAGTGAAGAGAGAAGCACATGACTGCAGGAGTGGTTATACTGGTCCTAAGGGAGCAAGGATCTGATCCGGACGGGGAGCAGCGTGACGAGCAGCTCGTGCCACCACAAAATGCTGTGCTCTGCACAGGACATGGATGCAGCTGGGGCCAGACTTATGCTCTCCAGCTACTTTACATGACCAGTTCAGAGCACACTTCTGCATCCTCTGGGCTACTGCGTTAGGCACACAACGCACAGACCTCTCACACTTGGTTACCCTCCCAATATCTGTGCAGTGTCCATGGTGACAGTATCTTATAAATCACTGCACTTTCCAATTAGCCTCACATTTCTCCTAGATCCTGTTGGATTGAAGCTGCTCTCTTTTTCAAAGTGCTGGGTCAGAGGAAGATTTCAGGAAAGCCTTCTCACCAGGGAGACCTTGCTCTCAGGAAACATTAGGCTTGGATGGGAGCTAAGAAGAACGGTGAGGGAAGACGGGACAGAGAAATGGCTTGGGAAGGGGGAGCAAGACTTTCTGCTCACTCCCAGAGCATGGGATCAGGGTGGGACAGCACCGCAGTCTCTCTCCAGGCTCTGCTCTGTATTCCCTCCAACAACCAGACACCTTTTCCTACAGGAGACTTTGGTAATTTTTATTCCCCTACCAAATGAGATTGTGGTGCTGCTGTTGTAGGCACCCTACACACACACTCTTATTCCAAGGAGATCAGAGCAGGCGGCCTTCACCTGCCCCCTTCAGCACATCGTGCTTTTCCTCTTTGCTGAGCAGAAGAAATCAGTGAGAGTCTTCAACCTTACCGAGAGCCCTCCTGATGTGAATAAGCTGGATGCTTCTAAGGTCTGTCCTGGCAAACTTTCTAGTCCTGTTCCAGCAGATCGCATGGGTCCAGCCTATCTTCTCCACATCCCTCAATGCTGGCCTCACTGTCGTGGTGACAGGGATATGAATGCAGGTGAGTGTTGTTCCTAGAGGAATAGGGACTGCAGAGCACTCACAGCTAGGTCCACCAGTGACCTCAGTCCTGTGGAGCCCTTGGTATTGTTACAGACAGCAATAAGAGCAAGGGCACTTGGCAGCACAACATATATCCCTGTAAGCCTGGAAAAACAGAAAAGCATCAGAGGCTTTGTAAAGTGAAAATCTCCCAGTGAAATGAGGGCTGGCAGTGCCCTGCTTTTCAGAAGCAGGGATTTCTCTAAATGAGAGCCCATGGCAGTGGTGTAAATTTAGGGCAGCCCTGCAGCCAGAGGGTTGGTATGACAGCCCGGTGGTCACCCTGTGCGCTGTGCACAGCCTGGCTGAGAGTAAGGTGTTTTGTCCTGAGGCACGAGGTCTCCAGCTTCAGCTCTGCCTCTGTCTCCAGTGCTTCAGGCCTCTCCTTGCAATAGGGTCGCTCACCAGCCTGCTCCTCCTGGTGTCTGTGAGCCCATCTCAGGCTGGCAGCGGGCAGAGGCAACTCGTTCCTCTCGTTACTGCAACCTGCAGGGAGCCCTGCTGGCTCCGGATGGGAGGCATCACTCTTATATTCTGCATCAATAGGTAGTTACCTGGGCCTGACACAAATAGAAATTGATCAAAAGCGGCTTTAAAAGCTCCCGAGTTCCTGGAGTAGAAAGTTCCTCTTGTTGAAATTGGGTGGGAGAGCTGCGGTTTTTCCTCAGTTCCTTTGATTTGTTGCCTAATGCAGGGGATGGATAAATCTCTAAGCCCTGAGATTTAGGGCAGGATTCATACTTTACATCTTCAGAAGACGTAGTAAACAGCCCTATACTCTCTAATCCTGGGAGCAGGTTTGTACCTGCTCACTCTGTATAAACTGGACCGGCTACAACAATTTCACATTGCGGCTGAGTTCAAAACATCCCCTTGGGGATGAAATGTTTATTGCAGGAGATTTTTTTAAGATGGTGCCTGAAAGGGAGGAAGAGGGACTCCCAGCTGAATACCCTGCACAGGCCCTGCGGGACTGTCTCATGGATGCAGAAAGCTCCAGGAGCAGTGAGACACCCCTGGCCCACATAGGACAACACTCAGAGCTTCCCAAGGGTGTGAGAATCCCCAGCCCTTCCCCACAGGATGGACAGAAGTGGGTGGCCTCTCTGAGGCCTTCATTTACTGGGGCAGGCAGTGCTCAGGCATGGCCCTGATGGCTGCAGTGCTCCTGGACCCAGCTGCACAGGTCCCCGTCTGGGCAGGCTGAGCTTGGGCTGCCCGAGCATCCCACTTTTCTGGGGGCAGGTCACTTTGGAGCCACCACACCTGAGGGATACCACATCAGGGGATTTGGTGAGTTTTTACACAAAATTTGAACCTCTGCAGATTCTGTGCTCTGGAGGTGGTCTGCTCATAGCAGAAGTGAGGAAGCAGTGCAGGGCATGCGTGGTGGTCCCTGCGGGGGGATGCAGCCCCTCAATCACCAAGGGGCATGTTAGCCACTGTGGGTTTAACAACTGGCACCACAGCACCTTGTGCCTTTGCATTTTGCTCTGGAGGGCTGCAAGTCCCATCACAAGGCCGGTGCCTGGCACGAGGGTGCTGGGGCAGTGGAGGCTGTGCACAGGGCGGTGAGTTAGTTACTTACAGAATCTTCAGGCTGTAGAGGCCAGAGAAAGCTTCCCCTGGGATACTGGAGATCTGGTTTCCAGACAGGCGTCTGCAGTGAAAAGAAGAGCCAGTAATGTGTCAACATCCTTGTAATGGCAGTCCCTTGTCTGCAGGCTTAGCAATTCATGCGTCTTGCCTCTCGGGGAGGATGCCGCGACACCTGCAAACCCAGCTGCAGTTTTGTGCTTGGGCAACCCTTGCATTTGACCCCTTCTTACAGTTTGAGGAACAGGCAAAGAAAATAATAGATTATTACTGCTGCCAGACCTGAATCCAGTGTTTTCAGCATCCAGTGAGTGCTCATGGCTGAAGTAATTCCCTGCATACCCACAGAGGACTCTTCCACTCCCTCATTCCCAGCCCTGTGACCTGTGTAGCAGCTGAGACCCAGCTCCTTCAACACGTGAGAATTTGGTATTACTGCTGTGGGGGGAGACTGGGAAGGGTACTGGAGATAGGGAACACCAGGTGGATGTTGAAATAGGGCCAGATCATCTGAGCATGGCTTCCAAAACCAGGACAGAAAAAGTAAAAGTGGTTCTTGGCTGAGCTGTGTCTGGAGAAAACCATAGGAGGGAAGACATGGATAGGGACAATTGGTTTAGGGAAGAGGGGGATGTGAAGGGACAGGAGAGGAAGACAAACTGCAGAGCAGCATCACAAAGGAGGGCAGGACCAGCAGAGTCACAGCACAAAGAGCGGGGCACAACATGCACAACTGGCTGGAAGAATTTCTCCAAGGAAACCTGTGGGATTCACTGATGTACAGTGTCATCTGATCACAGCACTCAGATTTTAGCAAGGTCCAGAGCAGGCTGGGACATTAACAAGGATCTGGATTTTTCAATAGTATCAAAAAACCGTTCACATCCCTTTCTCTGAAGGTGACTGTGGTCCTGAGAGACCATGGTGGGACCCTGTGGTTGAGCCAGGAGCAGAGTCCAGGCCTCTTGAGACTAGGGTTGACCTGAGGAGGGTCTTCTTCTCCTTCTGTTTCTTCTGTGAGGACAAGCATGTACCAAGTCCCAAGGCCCATCAGCCAAAACCCATGAAAACTGGTTCAGCAACCCGATTCTTTATCCCAAATTACTACTGCATTTGTGCTTCACTTTCTGGTCGCCAAGTGGTCAGACAGATGTCAAGGTTGGACGTCTCCGTAGTCACAGGGTAAGAAACTTGCTGTGGTCTTCATGACTCAGACTGGAATACTGCATCTCCCGAAGGAGACACCAAACATCATTTGTGACCAGGCACATCTTCAGTCTCTCTGAAACTCCAAAGCAGATTCAAGAAGCTGGGCACAGATGCTGGGAAGCGTGTTGTATTCATTTAGCATTGGCAAAGCCTGCTTCTTTTTAGATGGTTTGGCTGTGAAGAAGACAGGTGTTGAGGATGAGCAGCATAATCCAGGCTGGAAGCAGAGCACGTTATAGTGAGGACTCTGCAGAGGTCATGGAGAGGATCTGAGCTTTTTTGAGGAGTCACACTCACCGATGGCAGAGCAGGCTTGTGCGGGTGCCCGAGCTCTCTCCCTCCCTGTCTCTCCCCTCGGGAATCTAGAGAAAATTACTCCCGTAATTAGGCCTCCGACAGCATAAACAGCACAGGGTCGTCTCTTTAATGTGTGTGAGCAGGTTATAACCTGCCTCTTTGCAGTATGCAAGCTGCCTGGCAGGCTGGGCTATTTGTCACTTGGGGGCTGTGATTTGGGGTAATTGCTCCTTTTGATTGCTGATTTCCACATGGGAGGGAGTGTTGTCCAGGAGACTGCAGTGCTCGCCTGGAGGGGGGGTGTTCCTGCACGGCATCCTCGGCCCGCTCCCAGCATCTGTCCTGCCAGGCTGCACCAGCTCCTCTGCGGGGGGCTGCCTGTCCTCCCCTCCTTGAGCTCCTGTCTGCCCCCGTGCCTCTGCTGCAGGGCTCCACATGTGCTCACGGTTACATGTGCTTCTCGACTTGTTTCCTGGCCGCTGTGAGCCTTTATGTTCATGCTCCTGGGAATGTTCAAGCGGTTGCAGGACCCACTCTTGCTTGTCAGGACCCAAAATGGAGCTGGGACCTCCAGGGCTAGAAGAATGGCAGTGTGGAGCTTGAATGGAGCCCTAGCTGGGGGTCCTGACATTTGAATAGGGTTTGCTGTTGGGACACACGTTGGGCCAGTTTGTGGCTTCTCAGCACCACAAGAAAACCAGAACAAGAGGGAACAACAGGCCTTCAGGTTTCACTGGGCACTGTCCATGGGTGAATCTAGAGGCACAGGGCATCCCCCAGCCTCAGGAAAGGCAGCCAGACCCCACTTGCTCTGCTTCTGTCCTTGGCTCTGCCACACAGAGACTGTGGCACGTCCCTGGCTCACCTCTGGCCTCTGACTCTTTTCTCCCTTTACCTCCTCTCCCTGAGGTGTGGAGCCCTGTGCTGAGCCAGGCACAAAGGGAAGCACCAGCCTCAGCCACCCCACTTGATGTGCCTCCCAAGGCAGCTGCCAGCCTTGCTGGGGTACAAGATGGGCTGTGCTT